GAAAGATATCCAAGGAAGACAAGGCTGTCCAAGTCGGAGGGGTATGGCCATGGAGGTAGGAGGCTTTTAAAAGACCAAGGTAAGGACAGGTGGGTGGGTCATCGGTCATCCAGCTGTGGGTGTCTCTCCTTACCCCACACCCACTCCTAACGAGATGGTTCTCACTTTCCGTGCAAGCAAGCAGCAATTCTACTATCGCTGTCGTACTCCTTCGTCGCCTCGTCTACATCACGACCGGCAAGAAAGCATAACTAAGGGTTCCATGTTCTACAGGAAGAAGGCCGATATTAACAGGGTGTATGTTGCTTTGTTAGAATACTTCAAAAAAGCGTCCATTATCAGTATTGTTAACAGTGTTCGTATCAGTCGTCCTACTGTTGCACAAATTGCAGTTGACGCTCAAATGCTTATGCATTCAGACTTTGTTCGGTACTTCGGTGACTACAGATTGGGCAATAATGAGCGCTGTGACCATATTCAAATTGACGAGTCAAAATTTGGCAAGCGTAAGTATAATCATGGCTCTCGTAGAGAAGGTGTCTGGGTCTTTGGTATGGTTGAAGCGCTCCGTACAGGTATCACTTACACGTATACTGATCCATCAACTGGCATAAGTCAGGCAAGGGAGAAATATACTGCTGGTCGTCGCATGCTTTGCGCCGTCCCCAATAGGATCTCTGCTACGCTTCTTCCTATACTCTACCGTTTTTGTAAGAGAGGATCTGTTATTCGTAGCGATGGTTGGAGAGCTTATGCTGCACTTCATCCAAACGATGTCCGGCTTCAAAATAACGTCTTCGCTTCCGCAGATTATAGTCCTGATCAGTTCTTCTTCAGCCGTCATGAGGTGGTCAATCATTCTGTTGGTTTTGCTACTAGAGATCAGGTGCGTGGAAATCATACCGAAGGGTTCATCAACACTAACATTATCGAAGGCTTATGGCGTGAAGTAAAGGCATTCGTCCAGCCTCGTCACCGCACTATTGGTCATTGTCCTTCACGTTTACTCGAGTATCTTTGGCGTTACGAAAACCGTCTCACTGGCCTCACAAGAGGTTTGCAACGTTGCTTGAGGGAGGTCTCCTTTGACGCTAGGGTTACTGCAGGTAGCAGCGAAGCTTTTGATTGGATCACTCGGGCAGAGGACGGTAATTCTCAAGCGTCTACTGAAAGCGTGGATGGTGTTGCTCCACCAGCTGTACGTGAGCCATTTCAGCTGCAACCTGGATACGACTCTGATGCGTCATCAAGTGAAGATGACACCGACGATGAAGATTGGTTACCACCTGCAAGCCGCACAGGACTTTCAGCTGGCTTAATTTCTTCGGATGAATCGGCTGTCGTACCTGAAAACCAAGAGACCAGGGCAGCATCAAGAGAGAATAATCGAGTAAGGCGAATTGCCACTACTATCCGTCGCTCAAGCAGGCTGCGTTAATTGCGATATTTAATTGGCTTTAAACATAAATAAAAATTTAATATAACTGTACTAGGACTTTTTATGAAGGCTCTTATAGCCATTGTACGCTTACTGACTATAAAATAAGTCACTATGCAGCATTACTCTATTCCCGTCTTGCACTGGAGGTGATCCAAGTTTATGTCAGGGGAATTTATCCTCGGTAACCATTTCATGAATAGAAAGTCAACGGCAATTAAGTAGACCCCCCAGGATTTACACTCGATGTCACATCCAGAAAGTTGTGTTCACCCAGAAAATACATCCTCTTAATTTTTAAAAACAGGAACAATTACTGGGGTGGTAGTAGGGGTATTAAACTAGGGGGTCTACTTAATTGCCGTTGACTTTCTATTCATGAAATGG